AGTGAGGAGTGAGTAGTGAAGAGTGGGTAGTGAGGAATGAGTAGTGAGGAGTGAGAAGTGGGTAGTGAGGAGTGAGGAGTGAGGAATGAGTAGTGAGGAGTGAGTAGTGAAGAGTGGGTAGTGAGGAATGAGTAGTGAGGAGTGAGAAGTGGGTAGTGAGGAGTGAGGAGTGAGGAATGAGTAGTGAGGAGTGAGTAGTGAAGAGTGGGTAGTGGGTAGTGAGTAGTGAGGAGTGAGAAGTGGGTAGTGAGGAGTGAGGAGTGAGGAATGAGTAGTGAGGAGTGAGTAGTGAAGAGTGGGTAGTGAGTAGTGAGGAGTGAGAAGTGGGTAGTGAGGAGTGAGTAGTGAAGAGTGTGTAGTGAGGAGTGAGTAGTGAGGAGTGAGGAGTTAGGAATGAGTAATGAGGAGTGAGCAGTGAGTAGTGAGGAGTGAGTAGTGAGGAGTGAGTAGTGAGTAGTGAGGAGTGAGTAGTGAGGAGTGAGTAGTGAGGAGTGAGTAGTGAGGAGTGAGTAGTGAGGAGTGGTGAGTGAGGAGTGATGAGTGAGTAGTGTGGAGTGAGTGAGGAGTGGGTAGTGAGGAATGAGTAGTGAGGAGTGGGTAGTGAGTAGTGAGGAGTGATGAATGAGGAGTGATGAGTGAGTAGTGAGGGGTGGGTAGTGAGGAGTGAGGAGTGGGTAGTGAGGAGTGAGTAGTGAGGAGCGGGTAGTGATGAGTGAGGAGTGAGTAGTGAGTGTGGAGTGAGTAGTGAGGAGTGAGTAGTGAGTGTGGAGTGAGTAGTGAGGAGTGGGTAGTGAGTAGTGAGGAGTGGGTAGTGAGGAGTGAGGAGTGGGTAGTGAGGAGTGAGTAGTGAGGAGTGGGTAGTGATGAGTGAGGAGTGAGGAGTGAGTAGTGAGTGTGGAGTGAGTAGTGAGTAGTGAGGAGGGGGTAGTGAGGAGTGAGGATTGAGGAGAGGGTAGTGAGGAGTGAGTAGTGAGGAGTGAGTAGTGAGGAGTGAGTAGTGAGGAGTGATGAGTGAGTAGATAGGAGTGAGTAGTGGGTGAGGAGTGAGGAGTGGGTAGTGAGAAGTGAGTAGTGTGGAATGAGTAGTGAGTAGTGAGAAGTGGGTAATGAGTAGTGAGGAGTGAGTAGTAAGGAGTGAGGATTGACTAGTAAGGAGTGAGGAGTGAGTAGTGGGTAGTGAGGAGTGAGTAGTAAGGAGTGAGGAATGAGTAGTGAGTAGTGAGGAGTCAGTAGTGAGGAGTGAGGAGTGAGTAGTGAGGAGTGGTGTGTGAGGAGTGATGAGTGGGGAGTGAGGAGTGGGGAGTAAGTAGTGAGTAGTGAGGACTGAGGAGTGAGTAGTAAGTAGTGAGGACTGAGGAGTGGGTAGTGAGGAGTGAGGAGTGAGTAGTGAGGAGTGATGAGTGAGGAGTGAGTAGTAAGGAGTGCGAAGTGAGAAGTGGGTAATGAGGAGTGAGTAGTGAATAGTGAGGAGTGGGTAGTGAGTAGTGGGTAGTGAGGAGTGGGGACTGAGTAGTAAGGAGTGGTGAGTGAGTAGTGAGGAGTGGGGAGTGAGTAGTGGGGAGTGAGTAGTGAGGAAAGAGGAGTGGGGAGTGAGTAGTGAGTAGTGAGTAGTGGGGAGTGAGGAGTGGGTAGTGGAGAGTGAGTGAGGAGTGAGTAGTAAGGAGTGAGGAGTGGGTAGTAAGGAGTGAGGAGTGAGTAGTGAGGAGTGAGTAGTAAGGAGAGAGGAGTGAGTAGTGAGTAATGGGGAGTGAGTAGTGAGGAGTGATGAGTGCGTAGTGAGGAGTGAGTAGTAAGGAGAGAGGAGTGAGTAGTAAGGAGTGAGTAGTGAGGATTGGGGAGTGAGTAGTGAAGAGTTAGTAGTGAGGAGTGAGGAGTGAGTAGTGAGGAGTGAGTAGTAAGGAGTGAGGAGTGAGTAGTGAGGAGTGAGGAGTGAGTAGTGAGGAGTGAGGAGTGATGAGTGTGGAGTGATTAGTGAGGAGTGAAGAGTGAGTAGTGAGTGAGGAGTGAGTAGTGAGTGAGGAGTGAGGAGTGAGGAGTGAGGAGTGAGTAGTGAGGAGTGAGTAGTAAGGAGTGAGGAGTGAGTAGTGAGGAGTGAGGAGTGATGAGTGTGGAGTGATTAGTGAGGAGTGAAGAGTGAGTAGTGAGTGAGGAGTGAGTAGTGAGTGAGGAGTGAGGAGTGAGGAGTGAGGAGTGAG